AATTCTGGACTTTTACCTGTCCTGTAGTACTCCCAAGACCGTATCATAGTCTTGTACCAGTTTTGTAGTTCTCAGTACTGTAGATACATATCAAGTCTTGTGGTAAATCATACAATGGCCTCAAGGGTACTTAACTTTCAGAAGACTGTATCAATAGCCTAGGGTACTTGTAGTATCTTATAGTACTCGGTAGTTCGTATCAATAGCCTAAGGTATTGGTCTCTTACCAGTCTTGTAGTACTGTAGATCATATCAATAACCTAGTACTGGTCTCCTACCAGTTTTGAAGTACATAGCAGACTGTAACAATAGCCTATGGTACTGGATTCTTACAAGTCTTGTAGTACTGGTAGACCGTATCAATAGCCTAAGTTACTGGGTACTGGATTTTACCTACCAGTCTTGTACTGGGTAGACTGTATCAAAAGCCTAGGGTACTGGACTCCTACTTGTCTTGTAGTACTCACTGTATCAATAGCCTTTTGTACTGGACTTTTACCTGGTGTACTTGGTATACCCTATCAATAGCTTAGGGTACTGTTCTCTTACAAGTTTTGTAGTTGTATCAATAGCCTAGTACTGGATTCTTACTCAATAGTAGGGTACTGGACTTTTTTTTTAGTACTCAGTATATTGTATCAATAGCTATCTATTCTAACAAGGTACTTTGGAGTTTTCTTTTACCTATCTTGTAGTTCTTTGTCTTATTGCCTAGTCTCTTAGTTCCTGTCTTGTATCGGTAGACCATATCAATAGCTAGGGCACTGGACTTTTACCTATACCTGTCTTGTATCATATCAATGGCCTAGGGTACTGGTCTTTTACCAGTTCTTGCAAGACCGTATCAATAGCCTAGGGTACTCAATAGCCGAGGGTACTTGATTCTTACCATTATGGGTAGACCATTATACAATGGCCTAGGGTACTGGTACCTGTCTTGTAGTACTCTTAGCAAAAACCTTGGGTACTGGATCTGTTACCAGTCTTGTAATACAGGGTAGACCGATCAAAAGCCTAGGGTACTGGACTCCTACTTGTCTTTTAGTACTCAGTAGACCGTATCAATAGGCTATTGTACTGGATTTTTACCTGTTCTGTAGTGCTCAATTCGTATCAATAGCCTAAGGTATAGGTATTTTACCAGGTTTGTAGTACTCAGTAGACCGTATCAATAGCCTATAGTACTGGATTCCTACCAGTCTTTTAGTACTGTATCAATACCTTAGGGTACTGGTTTCCTAGTAGTTTTTTAGTACTCAGTAGACAGTATCAATAGCCTATTGTACTGGATTCTAACAAGTCTTGTAGTACTCGGTAGATGATATCAAAAGTCAAGGGTACTTAACTTTTACCTGTCTTGTAGTACTTGGTGGACCGTATCAATGGCCTAAGGTACTGGACTCTTAGTTCCTGTCTTGTAGTACTCGGTAGACCGTATCAATAGCCTGGGGTACTGGTCTCCTACCCGTCTAGTATTACTTGGTAGAAAGTATCAATAGACAAGGGTACTGGTCTCCTACCTGTCTTGCAGTACTCAGTAGACTGTATCAATAGCCTATGGTATTGGATTCTTACCTGTCTTGTAGTACTCATTAGACCATATTTATAATCTGGCATACTGGACTTTTAGGACAGACCATCAATAGCCTAGGGTATACCTAGTCTTGTAGTACTTGGTAGATATCAATAGGGCCTGGTTACCTAGGGTACTGGTCTCCTTCCAGTCTTGTAGACTGTATCAATGGCCTGTACTTGTCTCTTACCTGTCTTGAAGTACTCGGTAGACCGTATCAATAGCCTAATTTCCTCAGTAGGTATCAATACTAGGGTGGTCTCTTACCTGTCTTGTAGTAGTAGACCATATCAATGGCCTAGGGTACTGGACTCTTACCTGTCTTGTAACACTGGGTAGACCGTATCAAAAGCCTAGGGAACTGGACTCTTACTTGTCTTTTAGTACTCAGTAGACCATATCAATAGCCTAGGGTACTGGACTTTTACCTAGTCTTGTAGAACTCTGTGGACCAGTCTTGTATCAATTCAAAAGCCTAGGGTACTGTTCTCTTACCTGGTCTCTGTAACTCTGTAGATTGTATCAATAGCCGGTACTGGTCTCTTACTTGTCTTGTAGTACTCAGTACTTACAATATCAATATCCTAGCGTACTGGATTTTTACCTGTCTTGTAGTACTCAATAGTCAATTGCTTGAAGTACTGGAGCCTAGTAAAGGTTTCCTATATATCTTAGCCCAAGTCTTGTAGTATTCTTGGTAGACTCATATCAATAGCACATCTACTAGTACTAGTAAAAACTCTTACCAGTCCTTGTCATGATTTCAGTACACTACCTGAGGATGATCCAATAGCTAATCATGGCTTGGAAGTACTTGAAAAGAAGATTTTTAAAGGTTTCCCTATATATATGTACAACTTTGGTCAGCCATTTTACTCTTGAATCTCACTACAAGTCTTGTAGTACTTGGTAGAGAAGATTATCAATAGCCTATATATTTGTACATAAAACTTTGGTCAGATTTTCTTAGCCCCAGGGGTCATTGTAGTACTTGGTAGACTGTATTCCACATGAGTTTCATCTTTTCTGGCCATAGTGGTTCTTGAGAAGAAGATTTTTAAAGAATTTTTCTATATTACCTATGTAAAACTTTGTAGTACTAGCCCCAGGGGTCATGATTGAACAAACTTGAATCTACACTACCTATAAGTTCCTATTTCATCTTCTCCTGAGTTTTTAAGAAGAAGATTTTTCAAAGATGTTTCCTATATATTCCTATGTAAAACTTCGGTAGTACTTGGTAGAACGTATCAATAGCCTAGGAGTTTATCTTTCCTGGCCCAGTGGTTCTTCAAAGATTTTTTCCTATATATTCTATGTAACTTTGGTAGGCCATTTTGGTAGCCCCGGGGGTCATGATTACTCACTGTCTTGTAGTACTGAGAAGAAGATTTTCAAAGATTTTTTCCTATATAGTGAACAAACTTGAATCTACACTACATGAGGATGATTTCACATGAGTTTCATCTTTCCTGGCCCAGTGGTTCTTGAGAAGAAGAATCTCCCCTTGGAGGAAATCTTGAATCCCCTTCACCCCTAGTTGATATTCCCAGTGGTTCTTGAGAAGAAGATGAAAATTACGGACTTTTTCAGAAAAGTACTGAGTGAAAAAACCAGTTTCCCATTGTTGGAAACCTTTTGGAAACTTCAAGATTACATTATGGTTCCTTGTGATTTCCATGCAGGATACTGGGTTATTCCCCCTTGATTCCGTGCAACGAAAACACCCTACACTCGGATTCCATTAGGTATCCCGTGACTTGGAATCCAGTGGAATAGCAAGGTTTCCCTTGATTCTCTAAGTTTCCCGTATGGGAATCTTAAAGATTCCACTAGCTGGTTTCCGTGTATCGGGATACCTAATGGAATCAGAGCGTAGGGTGTTTCTGTGGATGGAAAACTAGTCAGGAATCTCAAGAATTCCATGTTTTGAAAACCATTTGGATACCATAAGAAACCTGAAGATTCCACTGACTTCTGTGTCTCGGGATACCTTATGGAATTGGAACATAGTAGTTTCAATGGATGGGAAACTAGATGGGAATCTTAAAGATTCCATGATTAGGAAACTGTTTGGATTCATATACCGGTAGTAAAACTTGAGTTTCCATAGTTTGGAAACCTAAGGGAATTGAAAGGTAGTAGTTTCCATATCATGGAAACTTATCAGGAATCTTGGGGTTTCCCTTGATGGAATTTAAATGGATTTATTTTCTTTCTTGATGAATTTTCTTAAAATTCTCATACTGGAATTAGCTTATGAGAATCTTCAAGTTTCTCCGGTTGGGTTCATTTGTTATTGAATATTGATGAGTGAACTAGAGGATATAGTAAACAGCAAAACAAATTTCAAATATGATGACATTTGTATTCTCAGAAATTATATTAATAATACTATCTATTCTAATTCACAACAAAGAAAAATTTAAGTTACTCAATTCAGTTACTTAAGTATTATGCGAACAAAATAAATCTATGAAAAAGTATAACAAATTTTAAAGATATATCAAAGCATCAACATTGTATATGTACAACATAAAAAAAATCATGACTTGTTTTTAGTTACTATATTTATAAAAAATACAATATTTTATAAATCAAAACCAAATTAGTGACTATTGACATTCAGGGACTCAATTAAGTTACTACAGTATTATAAAAAATAAATCTATGAAAAAGCATAACAATTTTTACAAAAATATATCAAAACATCAACACTGCATCTGTATGTAAAACAAAAATACAAACATGGCCAGGTGCTTTAGCTACTATCATATAAATATTTTATACATGAAAACCAAATTAGTGACTATTGATATTTATGCCCTGTTCACACGGAGAGTTTAATTCGAATTAAACATAAAGTTACTGCAAATTAGCTTTGCATAGCGTTCACATGGAGATTTCAATACAAATTAGTTTAATTCGAATAGTTTACTGCACATTAAATTACTTCGCATTAGCTCCATGTGAACGCTACGCGAAGCTGATTCGAATTAAATTTTGAGGCATGCGTAATGGCAAAATTAGGTCAAATGCCACATGTCAGTGGTCAAATTGAAGTATTAGTGCTATTTTTGAGTAAAAACTAAGGAAAATTGTGTTAATTTCTAAAATGTGTATACAGACACTGTAATATTATGTCAAATGCAGCTGCTCCTGCATTAGGTGACGTGATTTGCAAATGACGTCATAATAGCCTTACTGACGCCTGGCAGTATAAGTAGAATTTTAATTCGCATTAGTTAAACTTCGCATTAGCTGTTGTGTGAATGCAATTTAATTCTCATTAGTTTGATTCGCATTTGTTTACTTCGCATTAATTTACTGCGAATTAAACTCATCGTGTGAACAGGCCATTAGAATTAAGGTATAACATCGACTATTAAAAGATGAATATAAATGAAAAACAGAAATCTACTTTCATAATCATAGAATCCGATTCTTGAGGTATTGACAAAATATAACCTCTGAATTCTACTGTATTCTACTGCTTGAACAGCTTAAGAGCTGTTAATAATTGTCCCTTGCTTTCGGGAAAGCAAGGGGATATTAAATCTCATTTGTCTGTCCGTCTGTCTAGCTGTCCATCAATCACAAAAACTTTAACCTTGCCCATAACTTTTGATTTAGTGGAGCCATGACTTTCATATTTCATATGTGTATTCCTTAAGACAAGACCTTTCTTTTGGTACCATCAAATTCGATCTTTTGACCTTGACCTTGGAGTTTGACCCAATTTTACACAAAAATTCCAAACTTTGACTTTGGCCATAACTTTTGAATGGTAGGTACTAGGACTTTCATATTTCACATATGTATTCTTTGTAGGAAGACCTTTTATTGGATACCAACAACTTTGACCTTTTGACCTTTACCTAGGATGTTTTCGTACTTATAAGAAAACTTTAACCTTATCCATAAGTTTAGAATGGTAAGGACAAGGGCTTTCATACTTCACATATATAATTCTTGTGAGAAGACCTTTCATTGAATGCCAAGAACTTTGCCTTTTGGACCTTGACCTTGGAATTTGACCTACTTTTCAAAAACTTTGACCTTGGCCACAACTTTTGAACAGTAGATACCAGAAATTTCATACTTCACATATGTATTCTTTGTGGCAAGACCTTTCATTTGATACCAACAACCTTGACCTTTTGACCTTGACCTTTTAGATTTTTTTAGTACTTATGAGAAAACTTTAAGGTTGACCATAACTTTTGAATGGTAAGGGCTAAGGCTTTCATACTTCATGTAATCCTTTTGAGAAGACTTTTCATTGGATACAAGAATGTTAACCCTTTGACCTTGACCTTGGAGTTCAGTGATAATTTCTAAATAGATGACTTATGATAGGGCGTTCATATTATACGCAAAATGTCATAAAAAATGACATCTCACCCAAAAGACACTGAAAGCGGGGGACCACAATTCTTTGAATTTGCTTGTTGATTTAAAAATGTGTTTGTGAAACACTGATGCCCCCAAATGACAGCTTATTGTGTGTGTTGTAGTTTCTCATTTGCAAGTCAAAGGTCAAGGTAAAAAATGTTGGTATCGAGAGAAAGGTTTTGTCACCGTCGAAATATGAAAGCCTTAGTACTTGCTTTTCAAAAGTTCTGTCCAAGGTTAAAATATTTTAAAAGTGAGTCCAACTCGAAGGTCAATGTCAAAAAAATATTTATACCTGTTGAAAGTCTTGTCAAATGGAATGCAAAAGTGAAAGCTCTAGCATCAACTATTTGAAAGTTGTGGCCAAGAATACAGTTTAATTTTTTTGTTAAAGTGGTTGAAACTCAAAGGTCCATGTAAGGAGGTCAACAAGTCTGGTCACTAAGAATACATCTGTGAAATCAGTCGCCCCATCCACTCAAAAGCTTTAGGCCTGGTTTACACTTCTGCAGACAGACAGACCAACAATGAAAAACTATATATCCTGAACTGTTGATTACAGGTACATTGAAAAAAAACAAAACAACTATCAATATTTACATCTGGAAATCCCCAACCACAGAATTAAAAAGTTCTTTTTCTTGTATTCTTTTGATAGCTGAAACCTCGTTTGACCTACAAGGAATAAAAAAAATAGTTAAAATTTAGCTGAAGTGATATTTTGGTGTTTATATTTACATCCCATTCATTGAATAAGCTGTCCTTCTAAGGAAGTTGGGAAGAAAATCTTCAACAGAAAAGTTGTGTTCAGTGAATCTTCTGAATATACAAATTACTTACAAAATTACATTCCCAAGAACCAACAAAATTTCACTAACCCATAAACATAGACCCCCACAAATTAAAATGATTGTAAAGTAATTCTTATCTCCATCAAAAAACCAAGTTTTCTGGTCATAAGGATATGAGTTATTATAAAAACATCTGATATGATAATTCCCAAATCAGATTCTCTCAGATTCAAAGATAAGATGTGTCGTGATCCACAAATTATTTAAGGATGTACAGGCATAATTTCCAAAAAGAGGTCACATTGTGTATTTTACCCTACTATTGTTTGATGTTGCTCCTTTTCTTATAATAATAGTACACAATTGGTTAGACAAGAAGACCCTACACTATCAGAAAACTTATCAAAAGAAGGCCATAGAAAATGGTTCAATATAATCAGACTTCAGTATTTGCAAGCAAAAAATAACACATCCTTAATATTTCAAATGGTATTGATCTTTTTGTTCACTTAAAAAGGGAAGTTAAATGAATTTATAAAAGTTTGACACAATAATAAGAAAGGTAAAGATAAACAAGAGGCCCAGGGGCCTTGAATCTCTCTTCTGATAAATTTTACAACCTATCCTAAGACCAAAGATGCATCATCTGACAAAGTTTGATGATTCTTACCCAGTTAAGACTGAAGATATTTAAATGTAAGTATAAAATACTATAAGAAGGTCATGGTGATCTACTTTTTGATTTAAATTTTCTGAGTACACAAGATGCATTAATTGAAAAAGATTGATGATTCTAAGCCAGTAAGTACTTGAGATATTCAAAAGTGGGTCACAGTGACCTACTTATTGGTCAGCATTCTCCGAATACCCAAGGTGCATCAACTGACATAGTTTGACAATTCTAAGCCAATATGTACCCTAGAATACTTAAATATAGCAATAAATGTCACAAGTAGGTCACTGTGACCTATTTTTTGCTCATCATTCTCGGAAAACCCAAAATGCTTCAATTGACAATGTTTGATGATTCTAAACCAGTAAGTACCTGAGGTACATAAATATAGCCATAAAATGTCAAAAGTAGGTCATGGTGACCAATTTTTTGGTCAACATTTTCCAAAAACCCAAGATGCATCTACTGACAAAGTTTGATGATTCTAAGCCAATCAGTACCTGAGATATTCGAAAGTAGGTCACTGTGACCTACATTTTGGTCGACATGCTTCGAAAACCCAATATGCGTCAAATGACAAAGTTTGATGATTCTAACCCAATAAGTACCTGAGATATTTTAATAAAGCCATAAAATGTCAAAAGTAGGTCATTGTGACCTACTTTTTGGTCCATGATCTCCGAAAACCCAAGAGGCATCAACTGACAAAGTTTCATGATTCTAAGCCAATAAGTACTTGAGATACATAAATCTAGCCAGAAAATGTCAAAAATAGTTTTTTGTCAATGATTTCCGAAAACCCAAGATACATCAACTGACAAAGTTTGACAAGTCTAAGCCAATAGATACCCAAGATATTTAAATCTAGCCATAAAATGTCAAAAGTAGGTCACCATGACCTACTTTTTGGTCGACTTGCTTTGAAAACCAAAGATGCATCAACTGACAAAATTTGATGATCATAGGTCTAACAGTATTCAAAATATGTCTTTTAAACAATTTGAAAACAAATGCCTGCAAAGTTCAAAAAGTAGGTCACAGTGACCTACTTTTTAATAAATATGTTTTAAAGCCCCAAGATGCATCAACTTACAAGATTTGGTGATTCTAAACCTTTCAGTGTCTGAAATAATGGGATTAAATGTTTTAGAAAAGTATAGCCATAAAATTTAAGAAGTAGGTCACGATGACCTACTTTTAAGTTGATGTTGTTTGAGGACCCAAGATGCACCATCTGACCAAGTTTTATGATCATAGGCCTTAAAGTGTCCAAAATATGCCTACCAATTAATTTCAAAACAAAAGCCCGTAAAATTTATAAAGTAGGTCACTGTGACCTACTTTTGTATTAACATGATGTCAAGTCCTGAGATGCATCAACTTACAAGATTTGATGATCCTAGTCTTTATAGTAAGCAAAATATCAACATTTTTATAAACTGTAAATTTTGGTCAACTTTGAAGTGACATTCAGACCACACCCTTTGCCCCAGGGTCATGCCTTGAACAATTTTTAATCTTCAAAATATCCCGACCCTTGTATGTAAGTTTGGTGAAAATCTGCCCGGTGGTTCTGGAGAAGAAGATTTTTTTAGCAACCAGTTTTTCTTATTTTATTTTCGTGATTATCTCCCCTTGTTTTAGGGTCCTACCCTTAGTTTTAGTATAAATGGTAGACCTTGGGCCAAGGATACCCTGTGACAAATTTGAAAATGATTGGCCAAGGGGTTCTTGAGTTATGGCCCATATTCTAAAAAGTTAATGCACACCGCACGACGCACACCGCACAAATGGCCATAGCATTAGCTCTTTGAGCCTTTGGCTCAGAAGAGCTAATAAGTATCTGAGAAAATTAATTACCTCTATGAGGAGTAGTCCCTGGAAATGGCCCAAACTGGACACTTCTCAGGAGGAGGTGTTGTTGTGTCCTCTCTACCATCCCTTACAAATACCAACTGGCATCTGCAGATTCGGTCTTCAGGACCTTGTTCTATATGCCTTGTCCAGTGCCTCTTTTCCCTTGCACAGTCTGGTTGTTTTCCAGGAAAATGGGAGCCTGACCCACTTTGTTGAGTTTTCGTCATCAGTCTTCTCAGGTGAAGTTATGTCCAACTGAAGGCACTCCGTCAAGTTCTTTTTAGATGTTGGGGTCCATGACTCCTCTAGATAACTTAAGATGTTCCACAGCCTTCTTTCTTCTTTCCAGTTTCTGAGGGAAAAAGCGCATAGTTAATCATACAGACTTTTTAAAAACATATCTGTACAAGTATAAATGATAATGAACTATGTGACCTTAGTTTTGTAGAAATACCCATTGACACAAAATATCATAAATTTCAAAGAATATTGAATTCCTCTACAACTCTGCTATACATGATGAAAGAAGACTATTAATTAACAAATATCTTTGAAACGTAGGCCGATTAGTTTAAAAATAAACCCCAAAAGATCACTTTTTCATAAAGTTTTGAGTAAATTAGACTTACTGAACGCTTTCTTTTGCTTTGTTTTGACTGCTGTCTGTGAAGATCAGTCTTTCCATTCTCCCGTCTCCGTTTCTCCTGTTTGTCATTAGTAATGACATTGGTGAATGCCTCTAAAATATATAAAAGCTCAAATATAACAAACTGAACACACACACAAAAAAAAAACCCAAAAAAACCAGAGGCCCATGGGCCACATCGCTCACCTGAGTAACTTGGGTGATGCAGTTCTTTACCAGATTCCCCCTCTTGCTATACCTATCATGCCCCACTACCCCCTTCCCTTTTCTGACAGACGGACAGACAGATGGACGGATGGACAGCTAGACGTACAACGGACAAAATTTGAACAGAAAAGCTCACTTGAGCCTTCGGCTCAGGTGAGCTAAAAAAACCAATCTTAGGGGACTCTCTATGTTGTCACAACATGCCGTACTTCCAGTTGAAGTCCCGTTTTGGTCTGAAATGCTTTTTAGCTCACCTGAGCTGAAGGCTCAAGTGAGCTTTTCTGATCACATTTTGTCTGTCCTTCATCTTTAAATTTTTCACATTTTCAACTTCTTTTCAAGAACCAATAAGCCAATTTTAACCAAACTTGGTACAAAGCATCCTTGGATGAAGGAGAGTTTATTGTTAAAATGAAGGGCCAAGTCCTCTTACAAGGGGAGTTAATCAAGAAAAGACAAAAATAGGGTGGGGTCATTAAAAATCTTCTTCTCATAGAAATATATAGAACAAATCACGGGGCCAGGAAAACTGAAACGTATATGGAAGCATCCTTGGGTAGTGTAGATATTAAATTGTTAAAATCATGACCCCTGGGGGCAGGGCGGGGCCACAATAGGAAATCCGAGTTTTACATAGAAATATATAGAACAATAGGGAATCCAAGTTTTACATAGAAATCTTTAAAAATCTTCTTCAGAAACCACTGGGCCAGGAAAGCTGAAATTTATGTGGAAGCATCCTTGGGTAGTGTAGATTTTAAATTGTTAAAATCATGACCCCCAGGGGTAGGGTGGGGCCACAATAGGGAATCCAAGTTTTACATGGAAATATATAGAACAAATCTTTAAAAATCTTCTTCTCAATAACCACTGGGCCGGGAAAGCTGAAACTTATGTGGAAGCATCCTTGGGTAGTGTAGATATTAAATTGTTAAAATCATGACCCCCGGGGGTAGGGCTGGGCCACAATAGGGTATCCAAGTTTTACATGGAAATATATAGAACAAATCTTTAAAAATCTTCTTCTCAAGAACCAATGGGCCAGGAAAGCTGAAACTTATGTGGAAGCATCCTTGGGTAGTGTAGATTTTAAATTAATAAAATCATGACCCCCAGGGGTAGGGTGGGGCCACAATAGGGAATCCAAGTTTTACATGGAAATATATAGAACAAATCTTTAAAAATCTTCTTCTCTAGAACCACTGGGCCAGGAAAGCTGAAACTTATGTGGAAGCATCCTTGGGTAGTGTAGATTCTAAAGTTTTAAAATAAAAAAGGGAAGGGGGTTGTTGGGCATGATAGGTATAGCAAGAGGGGGAATCTGGTAAAGATCTGCATCACCCAAGTTACTCAGGTGAGCGATGTGGCCCATGGGCCTCTTGTTTGATATGTTTCTGTCTTAAACAAATTCACTTAAAACTGATAAATCACCGGGTATAGCTTAACATGCAATATTGAAAGTGGATGCATCTCCTTTAGGCAACAAGAGTGGCCAATGTACCCCTTCTTAAAACATGAATTGTTTGTCAAATTTTCAATTTGTCAATTTTGACTTTTTTTGTTAATGAAAAATATATTTACAAACTTATCAAAATAAATATAAGTAGGGTACTGTATGTGCCTCATTTCACAGGAAAATGTTCAAAAAGACATAGGACTATTTGTGAGCAGAAATCTCAAATCTAAGGGCTAAGGGCAGATCACTCTAACTGCATAAAACTACCCTATAAGTATAGCTCTTTAGTGTGCAGTGTTTAGAGTTTCCTTAAAGTCAACAAAATACTGACCAGCAAGAATCAGTAAATATGCATTTAATTTTCCTATTTTCATTCATCTCGAAGTTCTTTCCTGTTCAATTCAGGTTTGAGTTAAACAAAGTTTGACTGTATGTAACAGATAACTGATGTATGTCAATCACAACAATACACATATATCATTGAGGGGGCATATGGATTCAGCCCTAGTTTTTACATAAAACTTGTTGTAGCTCACAGCTGGTAAACCAAAATTCAGTATTTCAATTAATTTTTTTTTATTAAATTTTGAAACATTTTTTTTCTTTTCATGCAATTGTTAATATACATTCCAATTCATGATTGAATTAACTACCACTTACCAAATGATCACATCCTGATTCATCATACATTTCATATGATTTAATCTCACCGGTTTTCTTTTAAAGTCAGTTTTCTTCTCTCTGAAAGGATAAATTATGTTCAGGTACTATTGCATTCTAATTTAAACTAATTATCTAATTTAGCATCAGGCATCAGCAACTACCAGGATGGGAGAAATATCTGAATAAACAAAATTTCAAACATAAGAGCATCGACTTGTTTGTACCATTCTACATCTCTAATATTGGGGGCCACAAACAATATTTATTCATTATTACCTAACCTACTGTATAATTTGTTATCAGGCATTTTCAACTGTTTCACGTTTATTTAATGTTTTTGCGTGATCATGAAAAAGTCGAACTGTTGGCCGGGTCACAGAATGAACTGTTGCCTGTTCAAAGCATCATCGTGATATTCAAGATTTTTGATGATCACGACATCACTATTTACCTGCTTTATAATTAATTAAATTGAAATAATTTAATTTCACTTGTATCAAGCAATTTCATTGGCTGAATCATTCAAAGGAACATATAATATTTTGTATAACATAACTTGCCTAAGTCACAATGAGCTACGTCAAAAACGTATTACTCTGCTTAACGTTACTTTTAAAATAATGCTCAATTTGACACCTTTTCCGGAAGAAATATTGTCTCATTGTCTACACTGAAATTAAATTATAAGGAATGAATTACAGTTTATAAAGCGTAAACTGCCCCAAGTTATGTTATATCGGATAACATAAGTTGAATTTAGCTTCATTCTTTAAATAAAACACACAAACAATCAATCAATCAATTTATTAAGAATTACTTTGAATTATTTAATATTAATTTAATCTTTATATTATGTGTTCAGCTAATTCATAGACAAGTACGTGAATAAACAGTTCTTAAAACCCTTTATTGATTGTCTGCGTGTTTTTATTCCAATTTGATTAATTAATTTAAGTTAGGTAATAAAACACTTATTTAATGACTACTCGGTAAAACAGTCAAACTGTTGTTCTTCGGTAGTGGGGAAGACCTGGGAAACTGTTGCCCTCGGCCTTCAGCCTCAGGCAACAGTTTCCAAGGTCTTCCCCACTACCTCAGGACAACAGTTTGACTGTTTACCTCATAGTCATAAAATAAGTGTATACTATTTCATTGTTCATCATGTTCATACAAGTCTTTTTTACAAAATATATATTGGCTGATACTGATGCAATAGCTTACCAGCAAAATATGATATTGCTCAGCTCATTGTTTGCCTGCACCACAGTTATGTAGAATCTGGTGTCTGTTATAATTATATTATGCACAGCAAATATAAGAAGCATGTTTTTTTTTGGTAATTTTGACCTAATGACAGCCAAGTCTGTTCAGTGAGAACATCTTCAGAATATTAACTTTGAGTGATTATATAACAATACAATTATAGCTAGCGCAGTGAGCTCTAACGACAAAGCCTGAGCGAAGAGAAAATTTGGACTATTGCACATTCATTCCATAAAATTTTTTACACAGTAATTTTGATCCACAATGCATCGCTTTGTAAACAAACGCTAAAGCAACGTTGTGGTGAGAATAACAACAAAAGTTAAATGAATAATAAACTTGTCTTGATTTAATAAATTTATCTGTTTGTTGAAGAAAAATAGTCATAAATTGATTGAAATTATAGCCCTGTTCAGGCTTTGGTTTGGTAAAGCAACATACAAACGACGCACCGAATGTCACGTGCAGTTTGGCAAGTCTGAACTAAATGAAAACTGGACAAGTATCTGCGCTCACCCTAAAGGTCATACCATCAACATATTAGTCAAAATGTGGTTTATATAAGGACCCATGTCAAGTGATATTGAGCTCAGAGAAAAAAAATGAACATGACCTCTCACACAGTTCCTATTTTCTTTCACCGCGAGTCAGTATCACTTGACATAGGTCCTTATAACTTCATGTTGGCCTACACAGGTCAATAATTTTGAAATAACTGATAATTCAATCTGATGATTCATTTGCATTACTTAATTGATATTACATATGTAATTCACTTTTAATGTAGGCTTTTCTTTTTTAACATCTTCATCTCAGCAGGTCAGACATTAGAAAATTTTTCTTTTGAACAGTGAAGTATTTCAATATACAAAGTTATTCTCTTTAGATAAGTGGACGGGCTTTCGCCTACATCCACTTTCTAAATGTATGTTTTCTTACATATCATTCTCATGCATATGATTAAGGGTTATGCTATAAAGCTACAATCTATAACTGTTCTGATCTGTCATGAATAATCGGATAGTTGCGATTGAAGACACTTTTCGTAAAATATTGATGGTTTTTCATAATTCTGAAACAAAAATAGCTCATCTATACCTTGTCATAATTCATAAGTTCCAAAAAATCAAAAGAGTTGGCTAAAGTCAAGCTAGCTAAGAAAATTTTTTATAACATTTAAGTGTTTATCGAACCCGATGTAAAAACACCCATTAATTAATTAAAGTATGGCCCCCCAACTAGGAATTGTGCCACTTAGGGGGGCCCGGATAACTTCGGCGCAAGAGCGCTTCTAACGGTTTCAAGTGTATAAAAGGACCCAATTGACACCGTTTCTAGGCGCCAGAGCGCCAAATTTACCCATGTAATGTGATACTACAGAAATACTATACCGGTCTAGAGAAAGCGCCCAGCGCCCAAACTAGGAATTGTGTCACTTATGGGAGCCCGGATAACTACGGCGCAAGAGCGCCTCTAACGGTTTCAAGTGTCAAAAGGACCCAATTTACACCGTATCCAGGCACCAAGGCGCCAAGTTTACCCCTATAATGTGATATAATACAGATACTATACAGGTCTAGAGAAAGCGCCTTGCGCCTAAACTAGGAATTGTGCCACTTCGGGGAGCGAAAAACACTGTGACGCAACAGCGCCTCTTACGGTTTCAAGTGTCAAAAACGACCCTTTTGACACTGTTTCTTGGCGTCAGGGCGCCAAATAAACCCCTATAATGTGATACTATAGAGATACTATACCGGTCTAGAGAAAGCGAAAAGCGCCCAAACTAGGAATTGTGCCACCTAGGGAAGTCCAGAACACTACGGCGCAAGAGCGCCTCTAACGGTTTCAAGGGTGAAAAAGGACCCGATTGACACCGTTTCTAGGCGCCAGGGCGCAAATTTTACCCCTATAATATGATACTTTACAGATACTATAAAGGTCTAGAGAAAGTGCCAAGCGCCCACATTAGGAATTGTGCCACCTAGGGGAGCCAAAAACACTGTGGCACAAGAGCGCCTCTAACGGTTTCAAGTGTCAAAAAGGACCCAATTGACACCGTTTCTAGGCGCCAGGGCGCAAAGTTTACCCCTATAATGTGATATAATACAGATACTATATATATCGATCTAGAGAAAGCACCTTGCACCCAAACTAGGTATAGTGCCACTTAGGGAAGTCCGGATCACTATGGTGCAAGAGCGCCTCTAACTGTTTCAAGTGTCTAAAAGGACCCAATTGACACTGTTTCTAGGCGCCAGGGCGCAAAGTTTACCCCTATCACGTGATATTATACAGATATTATACCGGTTTAGAGAAAACGCCAAGCGCCCAAACTAGGAATTTTGCCATTTAGGGGAGCCAAAAACACTGTGGTGCAAGAGCGCCTCTAACGGTTTCGAGTGTCAAAAAGGACCCAATTTACACCGTTTCTAGGCGCCAGGGCGCCAAGTTTACCCCTATAATTTGATACTATAGAGATACTATACCGGTCTAGAGAAAGCGCCCAGCGCCCAAACTAGGAAATGTGCCACTTAGGGGAGCCCGGATAACTACGGTGCAAGAGCGCCTCTAACAGTTTCAAATGTCAAACAGGACCCGATTGACACCGTTTTTAGGCGCCAAGGCGCTAAATTTACTCTATAATATGATACCTTACAGATACTATAAAGGTCTAGAGAAAGCGCCAAGCGCCAAAATTAGGAATTGTGCCACCTAGGGAAATCCGGAACACTACGGCGCAAGAGCGCCTCTAACGGTTTCAAGTGTCAAAAAGGACCCAATTGACACCGTTTCTAGCGCGCCAGGGCACTGAATTATACTATACAGGTCTGGAGAAAGCGCCAGCGCCAAAACTAGGAATTGTGCCATTTAAGGAAGCCCGGAACACCATGGTGCAGGAGCGCCTCTAACAGTTTCAAGTGTCAAAAAAGGCCCACGCAATTGACACCGTTTCTAGGCCCCAACGAGCCAAGTTTACCCCTATAATTTGATACTATACAGGTCTAGAAAATAAAATTGCAGTTAGGAAATGCTAATGCTTTTATTTGCCTTATCTTAAAATATCATGTCGTACGCTAGACTTATTATGTCGTCCGTACGACATAGTATCTCGTAGGTACGAATTAGTATCTCATAAGTACATGTACGAGATATATATAAATGTCGTACGAACGACTTAGTATGTCGAAGGTACGACTTATTATCTCGTACTTACGACTTAACATTGGCGGATCCAGATAGGGGGGGGGGGTTCCGGGGTTGCAACCCCCCTTTATTTTTTGCCAAGTGGAGAGAGAGAGAGAGAGAGAGAGAGGATAAAACGTTTTCCGAGGTTATATGTTTGTACGTCTTATTTATTGATTGAATGGATAGATTCTCACACATTTAGTAATAGTTTCCTCCAATCACCTCCTCTATTATATTTTTTTATGAGAGAATGGTAGAAAATATTCTAATTATTTCTATATATCTTGCATATGATATGTAACATGGGAGGTTTAATTTGATACTAGATTCCCGCGATCTTTGGCTGTGTTGGCTATATATGTACCGTTTTTATCAGATCTTGATCAATTGAACGAACTAACATGTAACTCTTTGTTTTAACCCCCCCCCCCTGCACCCCACCTAGAAAAGGTTTTTCAAATTTTTAAAGAAAATACTTTATAATCTTCGGAAAAGTGAAACACCAATTGATTCAATTTTAAAGCTTCCGTAGTTTTTGATTTTTTTTTTTGTTTTTGTTTTGTTCGGAAACGCATTTTTTTAAAGGACGTAAAACAAAGATAGTATTTATCACAACCTTAGACCTTCCCATACCCGTCTGTGAATCTTTGCTTGAGAATATGTATTGCTCAGGGGGGGGGGGTTTAGAGGGGCATAAAATCCCCCCCCCTTTCAAAAAGCTGATCCGCCCCTGCTTAACATCTCGTACGTAAGAATTAGTATCTCGTAATGACTTACAATATATATTTTTTTCAAGTGGCAGTAATACGCTTCCGTACATTAATTATTGCAATTAAACTTTGGATTACTATAATGCATATGATAACTTTGATTTATTTATACTTTGATACTTTTATAATTTACAATTATTATTAAGACTTTTCAAATACTTTGATCTTCTATAGTTCAAACTTTGAAACTTCAATTTTCTGTAGAGAAAACTGTGAAACTTTAATTTAGAATGGTAAAACGTTGGGAAACTATAGTTATTAATAACTATATAGCAAACTATGTTTTTATTTTGTTATAGGGTTAACATTTCATAAAATATTGTAATATACAAGTAACATTTTCCTATGTGCTCAATGTACATAAATTTTGACTAATATGACATTCATAATGTCTACTTGATGAAATACAAAGATTTTCAGATTTTTGAAAAAATAATAAAATAAAAACTGTGCTATCAAAATTAAAGATGTTAAATTTCAATTTAAAAATCAGTTTGTAACATGTTTGTTGAAATTTACAAATTGTAAACAAAGATATATTTAAACCTTACAAAATGTACACTTGAACATCGGAGAGTATATTTATTGCTTATTTCGGCAAAAAAAATAGTAGACTCTATCAAGCATCAAAGGCTCATTTAACCCTTCCCCTTCTTTTTTCACTTGTCAGTTTTCCGAGACCTGGAGACTTTTTTTTTAATCTGAAGTCAATAATTTTTGTGGTTGTTGTGTACAACCCCCATTAACCAAAAAAAAAAAGGGGGGAGAAAAAAGGAAATAAGATACGGACGTATATCATATTTCATAACTGAAATTGAATGTTGGATTGTAGATGGTATTGATATATTGTATGTTAAATTTTACTTGTAATTAAAAGGGGGAAAAATTGCATTGGATTTTATATTAAAATACGTCTAAAATCTCCGGAGGAACTCCTATTTTTATAGACCAACTTCTTAAAATACCATAGATGGAACAAACAGGTTTGTTTAAAAGGACAATAGTTATTTACCATCTACTGCAAATTAACTTAAAACAAGGCGTTAAAAAAATGAAGTTATCAGATTAAAGTTTACAGAAAATGGAGAACCTAATTTCTGGATTAACACATTATTTCCTGGTTGAACAAGACGGAGAAGAGCAATAAATGGCCAGGCGGTAGCTGATTGGTTAAATTAGGCAACGTATATACTTTAAGTTTGGGCTTAAATATAAATGTTTGAAATCAATGATGAAATGATGGAATATATAACAAAGTATGGAAATAATAGATCGAACTAAAAATTCGCTTTGATTCTAAATGTAAAATGATTCTATTTTCGAAAATTTCCCCATCCCAATGTCATAAAAATTCGCCAGGGGTCTCAGACCCCTATAAACATACATTATAGAG